GTATCGTAAACAATTAATCACATTTTTACATGTCTTAAACATTTGTAGGATTGCTATTATACACTGATTTCATTTTATCAATAGCACTATATGTTTTCTTGCAGGCTTTATCTGTTGCGAATGTGTCGCTGTGCTTTATTCTGTTCTCTGTCAGACGGTGGTCCTTTGGGAAGGTACCGCTCCATCTAGCTACTATCCATTCTCCTGATGAGGCTTCTCTTCAAATAGAGCATTTAAAATACTGTTTTATTGAAGGGCGCCAGGGTGGCTCAGTCAGTTAAGCATCTGACTCTTGATTTCGGCTCAGGTCACGATCCCAGGGTTGTGGGATCGAGCCCCATGTTGGGCTCTGAGATAGCAGAGCCTGCTTGAGATTCTCTCTCTCTCTCTCTCTCTCTCTCTCTCTCTGCCCCTCCCCCACTCATGCTTGCTCTTAGATGAGTGATCTGTCTCTCCCTCAAAAGAAATAAAACTTGAAAATATTTTACTGAAATCTCTGTTTTTAAACCCGGTTTTACTTGCAACTTCCCTATGCCTCAGAGGTACTTTTTCCATAACTTAGGCTTAAATCAATTTAAAAATGAAACAAAAACTATATTTTTCTGGCTATAAAACTAATACATGCCTATTTTATTTTATTTTATTTTATTTTAATTTAATTTTATTTTTTTTTAAATTTTTTTTTTCAACGTTTATTTATTTTGGGGACAGAGAGAGACAGAGCATGAACGGGGGAGGGGCAGAGAGAGAGGGAGACACAGAATCGGAAACAGGCTCCAGGCTCTGAGCCATCAGCCCAGAGCCCGATGCGGGGCTCGAACTCACGGACTGAGAGATCGTGACCTGGCTGAAGTCGGACGCTTAACCGACTGCGCCACCCAGGCGCCCCTGTATACATGCCTATTTTAAAGTAAACATACAAGAACATAGTTCTCCACTTTAGCAATAACCACTGTGAACATTTTGGTGTATTTCTTTCCAGCAACTTCCATGTTTTGGTTTTGGTTTTCTCAAAACTAATGCTATCAGAAGAGGCAATTTCCCTCGGCACTAAAAAACTATGAAAACAAAAACGTAAACAATAGGAAAGTATTCCTGACTGTACTGTAACGGTTGGGCATTTAGGTGATTCCAACATTTCACTTTCTTTTCATTTAACAAACGTTCAGTGAACATTTGCTCGTGCTATTCGGGGCAGAAAGTGCAGCAGTAACCAAGACACGACTTCATTCCTTACAGAACGTTAAATAAGAAACACAACTACACGAACCATCCCACGATTGCCACTGTGACCTGCACGTAAAGAACAAGAAGACAGAACGCTAGGGCACATGGGAGGCAGAAACCAGTCACGCAGGGTGGGGAAGACTCCACAAGGAGGAGAGGTGTGCAGGCTCGATTCAAAGATAAAGGAAGGCGGCTGAGAGTAGCGAGTGTGTACCACCTGTGGGTGGGTGCGTCTGTGCACCGGTGTTGCAGGGAGAGCGAGACGGGAGGCCAGGAGCAACTACGGACTGTCACGCCCTCATGGGAGCCCATGTGCCCACACCTCTCCTACTTTTCTGGTTACGTCGTGAAGACAGCATCCCATCATGAAATTACTGGACCACGATGATTTGAAGGAATCCTGTCTGTAGGATTCTGACACATCGGAAACAAAGTGTTGCTCGAGATTCTGCATTCTGGATGCCAACACCAAGGCGTTATCTCATTGCAACTGGCACCAAGGACGAGCGATGCCGCGGAAAAGGTGGTAGCCTGGAAATGGTGTCGGCCTCAGGGCTGTGCTATTATTATCCTTCACTCTGTATCAGCTAAAGTGAGTGACTGTGAGAGAAATGACTTGAAGAAACGCATTTGGTTACTTAAAACACACGGAAAAGAAACGTATTATTAAAATAGCAAAGCTCTGTGGGTAGGGGTGGATTTCTGCAATTTGAGTAACGTGTGCATGCGTGCACATACGCACACATACACGCACACACACACACCTCTCAGGGATACACTGAAGAATTATCAGGGGCACCTGGGTGGCTCGGTCCATTAAACACCGGACTCGATTTCGGCTCCGGTCACGATCTCACAGTTTGTGGGTTCAAGCCCCGTGCTGGGCTTTGTGTTGACGCTGTGGAGCCTGCTTGGGATTCTCTCTCTCCTTTCTCTGCCCCCACCTCATACTCTCTCTCTCTCTCAAAATAAATAAACTTAAAAAGAAAAAAAATTATTAACGAGGACCTTGATGGGGTCAGGGAACTCCAAAAATTCACTGAACAGGAAAAATTTAATAAATGGGAAGACATTTCAGGAAAAGAAAGAGTATTACAAACAAATTAATGATCTCAAAATTACTTTTTAAATTTAAAAAACTTCAATAATATTTTAAAGGGATTTTTTTGGTTAAAATAATTCTAAAGTTTTGAAGAAATAATGTTCAGTAACACCCAAGAAAATTGGCAGGAAAAGAAATCCACTAAAATAATTCAAAATATCGGGGTACCTGGGCGGCTCAGTCAGTTGAGCGCCCGACTCTTGATTTTGGCTCAGATCATGATCCCAGGGTCGTGGGATCGAGCCCCACTTCCAGGTCCTAGCTGAGCACAGAGCCTGCTTGGGATTCTCTGTCTCTCTCTCCCTCTGCCCCCCTCCCCCTCAAAAACAAAGGAAAAGAAAAGCAATTCTGAAATACTTCTTCTGATGGGTAAGGATGGGGTTGGGAAAGGGAGAAACAGAAGCTACTGTTTCTCACAGGAGCCCCAAACCTTCAGTTAACCTATGTCTGCACTATTGTGATTAAAAATACAATAAGATACATCGGGCTCCGTGCTGACCGCTCGGAGCCTGCAGCCTGCTTGGGATTCTGTGTCTCCCTCCCTCTCTGCCCCTCCCCCACTTACACTCTGCCTCTGTCTCTCAAAAATAAACAAACCTTAAAACAAACGAATAATCAGAAATAAACTGGGAAAGAAGCAATGAAAAATAAAGGACAGCGTATACAACAAGGAAACAAGTATTTAGATAAATATGCACCCGTGGTTGCTGTTAACGGTAAAAACATATGCTAAAAGGTAAAGATATTTGACTCCCTAAAATTTTAAACTTCTATGTGCCGGAAAAACATGTAAGTAAAAGGTAAGAGTCAAACAGGATAACTACGTGCTAAAATGTCATCAACGTTAACATTACACGTTAAGAATTCCTTACAAATCAAGAATGAGAAAAAACCCAATTAAAAAACACGCAAATAACATGACACATAGAGGAAGGAAAAACACAGTCAATAAACAGGTACGCACCTTTGGATTCTCCAATCGAGGAAATGCGTGTGGAAATAGTGACGAGGCTCTGGTGGCAGTGGAGTAACACGCCCAGCGCAGGCGTCCATTTCCAAGTCCAAGTCTTCTGTGAAATCACCGGGCACTCCTTCACGACCTGACACCTTTCACCTTAGTGAAAACAAAGCAAGCAAATCTTGGTGGTCTCAAATAAGAAGGGGAAAAAAAAAAGGTGCCCTATATTTAAAAATAACACCGAGCAGAACCCACAACCAAAGGTAACAGGGGACAGCTACAACAGACTAAGTTGTGGGCCATGTTTTAAAGCGGTGGGCATCTGTTTCAGTAGGAGTTGATTCTGCTCTGGAGGGTGGACTGCGGCTGCCTCACCCGGGATGCAGGGGCCCCGTGAGACCCCAAGGCAGGAAGGGCCCCTGGGCCCACCATATTCCTGGCGGGCTGACTTTTTCTACTCGCACAGTAAACAGCTCTGTCTCCTTGTGAACGCAGCCACTTATAAGGGAGCCCCAGCTGAAAGGACCAGCTTTGGACAAATTTGTCTCTTATTCCAAAGTCGTTAAATATCTGTAGCTTTAAAAGAGGGAAAACTAAAGATGATCCATTCCTGCTTCTAAGGAAAAGAACGGAGTCTGCTCTCATTAGTGAGACTCTACAATCAACACACACGGGCCTGTACACCCTACGCCTCTTTTTTCAGGTCAGGACTAGACCCAATTAGCTCGTGATCTGAGCCAGAGAGCAGCAGAGGAAGCACGTATTCGGGGCTAATATGATGACGCGTGGCGCACGGGGGCAAGTGTTTGCACATGGGTTATCTCAAGTAACACATACAATCCCAGAACAGGATTCTGTGGGGACACAGGCTTGGGAAGCTCAGGCTCTCATGTGAGACTCTGGCTAAGAGGGAAGGATGACATAGGAATCCCAGTTCCAGGGCCTCCCCAGGCCTGCTCCCTGCAGTCTTTCTGATCTGCTCTCCATGTCCGTGAACTGAAGTTTTACACATTCTCTAAGTGTCTTTTCGGCTCTAATATCCTGGAGCTGTCTGATTCAAGATGTGTACTCATCAGAAGCTCCAAAAAATCCCACGAGGGGGGCAGTCATATTTCCAAACTTAAGAGTCAGGATGTTCAGTCTGATATAGCACCTCTGTGCTACTTCCAGAATCATCTATCCATCTGGAAGGTGGAGGCCAAGTATTTCATTGTTTACGGAGATAACTGAAATAGAATATTTTAAAATGGGATGCCAGAGATGGTCTGGGGTACGGGGTGCAGGAGTGAGTACAGCGTGGACAGTAATGAAAGCTGAGAGGAGACTTGGTCTTTAGAGTTCTTGCTCCCATCTTTCCTCTTTCTTCAATTCTCTCATTTGGTGCCATGCACACCTTCTTGTAAGAGAGCTCTTCCAGGATGGTGTCCTATGAAACCTGTACTTTCAGATTAATTTCCCGTCATCCAAACTCAGTAACTCGGATTCCTTTTCTTTCATTCCTCCTAACTCTCATTTTCAATGGTGTCTGACTGCTGATAGAGAAGAAGTGACTGGAATAATTCATGCTAAGGTGTGAATGGTCCATTGCTGACTCAGCTTGTGATCCCAGCTTTGCATTCTGAAGGAGTAGCTACTGAATCCAAATAGAATCTAATGGTCAGAGTTAAGGACTTATTATCCAGTCAAGTCTGAATAGTATACTATGTCCAAATAGTAAGCATATTTTTCTGCCCTGGCTCCCTTTCTACTGAATGGAGATGATATTAATAGGATACTTTAAAGCTATGATTTCCAAACTTCTGATGGTGCATACCTATCAGATACAAGAAAATGAGTACCTACCCAAATCATTTATTGAATTCACATACATATGTACAATCACTGCACCGATGTGCTGTTTACTGCAAACGTATAACTTTCAAAGGATGCGATAAAACTAAATAATACATTTACACTATTTTCTTTTAACTGTAGAAAATGTATATTCTTTTGCTCTCATTCTAACTTGTGATTGGAGTACAAGTAGTAAGGAGGAATATGCTTCACACACGTAAATTACACACGTAAATCACACACCAAATGCTGAAAGAAAACAGCCAGTGAGCACCTCCTCTCCGCATGCTTCACCGTGGGCACTCAGGTCACTTTTCATGGTTGTCTGTGCCTGTCAGACGTACACAGGAAAGGAGGGGCAGGAAGATGGGTGAGGGGATCCGTCTGTACAGTGTTAATAACGTCTGATTTTCTTCTTTGATCAAAAGAGATAAAAAAAGTTGTAATGGTTTCTTTCTGTAACCCAGTTAATCATTATCGTGGGGGTGCAGTCACTGCTCCGTGTGCCTTCGTTAACACAAGAGCAGGCTCGGATCCAAGTTTTGTGGAACTTGGGACTGTTACAACTTCTGGGGAAAGGAAACTCTTTAAGAAAAAGAGCACACACACAAATCTTACTTTTGCAACTTCTTACAAACTCTGTGATCCTAGCGGTCCTGGGTCCTCCCAGAGTGGCTCCCGGGGTGATGGGAGAGGATTCTGGGGGCGGGGGGCCCGGCACCCCCAGCAAGGAGGTAGGAAATGGGTCTTCAGCAGACTTGAGGAGTCCTCTCTTGCAAACGAGGAAGCTTGGGAAAGAGGGCTATTTTGCAAAAAGCTGCTTAGAGGACTGGAATTTAAATTTCTTTCCCTGCTTGGCTCCTCTTAATGGGCTTTCATTCTTAGCAAATCCTGCCTTCTGTGCTCAAATGTTCAGAGAGCAATCCCTGGAGCACAGGACAACTCGGAGGTCTGGCGCTGATAAGGACCTGAGCTCAAATGTTTAGATAACGTCAGAGCCCTTCGCCCTGGCTGCCTCATTCTGCTCCCTCCTAAAAATATGAGCTGTGGTCTCAAGATAGTGGTGCTCCTGGCTCGAAAAGGAGGATGTACAGCTTTTTGGTAAAGAACATCCTGGACTTACTAAAATAAGTCACAGTGTCAGCTCCTGCCCATTAAGGGGGCCCACTTTCCCTGGTCTTTGTGGGTGAGAAATTTGAGATGAAACTGGTCTTGCAGAAATCTCAGCCTGTCTCCCTTTTAAGGCGTTGTTTTCAATGCAAGATGGCAAAGGAAAAATCCAAGAGAAGGCCGTGGCTAACAGGACATTTACGGCCCTGAGAACACTGAAATGCAGGGGGGGGGGGGGGCGGCTGTACTTGAAGCAAGGGTTGCGAAGGGTTAAAGTGTGCACTTGAATGCGGTGGACGGTAGGGATGCCCAAAAGCGATTTCACTAAGAAATAAAGCCACAAATCCGTTTCTCCCCTCTCTCCTTACCCCACGTGGGCATCTGGCAGGACGGCCTGCCTCCAGATCCTTCTCTTCCTACAGGCCTGTCCTCGACGTCTGTCCCGTTTCTCTCTGCGGCTCTCACACGCCCCTCTGCTCGCCTGAACCCGTCCGCCCGGACGCCACGCGGGGCCGCCCAGGAGAACCCAGCGGCAGAATTCTTTGAAACAAAGACCTAACCACGGACCTGCGGCTCCGAAGGCGGCCGAGGGACACGCCACGTTTACCCAGCATGCCTCGGGCGGCCTCAGGACTGGCTGGCTGCGGCCACGTGACTGGGCCGCTCGTGATCACGTCACGCGGCCGCGCACAAGCCCCGATCTGCGGCTGCGCGGGGAGGGGCCCCAGAGGCGGGAAGGCCCGGGGGCTGCGGGCCGGTTGCTGGCCGGGCTGGCCTGGTCGCGGGAAGAGCTTGCCGCCTGCGTGGTTTGGGGACCGATGCCCATCCTGCTCGCGCGGCCTCGTCGTGCAGCCCGCGCCTGCGCCTGCCTTCCTTCCTTCCTTCCTGACAGGTAGGAGCGGATTTGGGGGCGCAGGGAGCCAGGCGTGCTGGAAAGATCCTAAAAGAAACCGGAGGAACCTTCTAGAATGTGTGTCTGAATGAGCTCTGGGAACACTGACCATACGGTAAGAATTCATCCA